ATTTGGTCAAAAATCACAGAATCTAACACCGTTGATTTTTCAGAGCGAAAATTATTCTTTGACTATTTCTTCAAAATGCACAATGGCTTGTAGGAAAATTAATGCTGAAACTAAAAAAGTTGCCATTTTTAGAAATTCACCTATAATCCTTAAACATATTTGATTGTCGTCGTTTTTGATTATCATTTGCATTTTCGAGGAATAAGTAAGTTAATGGAGCAAGTCGAATTCACGCGATAATTTTCCCGCCATTTTTATAGACGACACCTCTTTTGAAAATTGCCCTGGATCTGCAGGGGTTTATTCATGATTTTCAGGCATGTTAGCCGAATTAATTTCTAAATCATTGTTATTGAACATTCTCAAGAGATCAACGATACTAATTCATTCAAATACGATCAAGCGTGTACACTTATTTCAAAAAATATTGTCGGAGAGAACGGCGAATGGCGAGTTTTCGAAGGGAGATTGAGCCATTGCATGACGGAAAAGGACTAAGGTTACCCTGCTTGACAAAAAAAATTCCACTTGCTTGGTCACCTTGCATGAAAATGGAGACTTAATGGAGCCAATGTTTGCCACAGACTATCTAACAGTATAAATCAGTTATTTAGTAATTCCAATCAATTAGAAAAACCCAACGCTCCCTACAGTCTTGCAATCGTTAGACAAATGCCATTCGCCATTTTATTTTATATTTATTTCTATTATAATTTTTTTTAAATAGGTGTATAAGCTCTAGTATGCAATGAAATTTTCTCTTGAAAATGATGCGCGTTTTACGTCTAAACGTCAATACAAAAGACCCTATCGTCGATCACTAATACTGATTTCACATTGTGACTTGTTGCGCGCTACTTGCGTGATATATGTTTCTAAAATATTTAGGATACTACGCGCGCTGTGATTGGTCGAAAACCATGTTTGATTACAGTTTCTAAAATATTTAGGATACTACGCGCGCTGTGATTGGTCGAAAACCATGTTTGATTACAGTATCAAAACACGCTCGTGCGCGTCAAAAATTTCTTTTTTTCTTTTAATTTTAGAAAAGAAATAAAAGACGAAATTCCGTGTTTGATACTCTGATCAAAACACTTGGGATGTAGGGAGAGCACTAGGCTCAGTCTACAGCCGTCGGGATTTCGTGCGCCCGCGATACTCTCTCCCCTGACGGCTGGGCGCATGAGGTTCGAAACGTGTCGCGCATGTCCGTGACGTTTTTGTGTAATTAGCATATTATGACGTAACGGAAGTGAATTTTTCAGTGAACGGAAGTGAAATATCTGACAACAGCCGTAAAGGTTTTGCTACAAGGCGGGAAATTATGTGAAATGAAAACTTCGCGAAGTAGCGATATAATGTAATAGTTAGCGCTTTAAAAAAGAGAAAGGAATGGAAATTACCCCAAGTAAAACATGTGCAGGGTTTAATAATCCAAATGGATGTATTATCTGCCAGAAAAACGAGCAAAATACACTAGTGGCGCTGTTTGAAAAATAAGAGATTTGCCCGAGCCAGTATAGGAAGAATAACAAGGACATCTTTTCCAAGAACAATCTCTTTAAGAGCCTTTTGCTGTATTTCTCTAAATTCGTCCAAGCTAAACGACTTCAGAGCCTTCAAACAAGCACTTTCAAAGAGAATCTCAAACGACGAATTGTACGCCATTTTGTTACACTGCTGCCTGCTAATTTATTAATGATATGCCCCTCAAAATATCGGGGGCCACTCGCTGATTGGTCAAGACTGACAATAGCGAACCTCNTACCTAAATAGAAAAAATTAAGTTGTACAAGGTGGTGATTTTGGTTTTGAGTAATGGAGTAATTGCCATTCAAAGTAGGAAAAGAAATCGTGTGTTGAAAGTGCTTGCCCAGTTACGCCACGTAACTGTACATTATGCATGCGTTAGGGGGAGGCTGTGAAGATTGCACCACCCAGGCCAAACCATGCATCAATGACTAATATTGTACAAATAATGAATTTATGAGAGCAGTTGCTAGTGTTTCCCAGGAAACCAAGGTAGAGTGTTAGGAACATCATTAAATCAATACAACTTATCATCAACTAGAGCGGATTTCGTATGACTGTGCAAAAAAACACGGTACGTTCGTGCTGTGTCCGTACCGTGCCGTAGCCGTGATGCATTGGAAAATCTTTACTTTCATTTGAAATCCTAGAAGGCGAGGTTCCGTGACTGTGCCGTGCCGTGTCGTGTCCGTGTTGTGATCCATGCTTTTGCACAGTTATACGAAATCCGCTCTAATGAAAGTCTGTCTTACCACTAGGATAAACCAATAAGAGCTTGAGCACACATGAGACGGATAATCAAAAGTTAGACACTGTCTGGAAAAAATTATTTGAAATATATTGTTGTACTAATGAATCGACTGTACCGCTAATGCACGAGGGAAGCTTCAGGTGTAAATTAAAAGTTGTGCAAATACTGCTTATTGAAACACATCGTAGAAAATTACAGCAAGCAAATACTGCCTTATGACATGATATGTAACTTAAAGTCCGGCCTGAACCTGCACCTTGCGCTACGGCTCTTGCCCCCCGATGTTTATTAAAATGGTCTTTAAATAAACCTATGCCCTAAAACCCTTGATCTGCATTACCAATTGACCTTTTAAAAGAGCAAGCGTTTACTGGTAATTTTGTCTTAATCACATATGAATTGATTTATGAAACAACATCATTTCACAATAGAATTTCTTCAATTTTACTTTGTTTATTATCGGGTAACGCAGGGCCGTAGCCAGGGTGAATGGACAACCGAGGCAAGCGGCCGCCGATGGCGGGAGAAACTAGGGGGGTCTGGGGGCATTCTCCCCCTAGAAAATTTGAAATTCAGTCTCTCGGAAATGCAAGTTGCAGCGTTTTGTGGGCCTTTTGGTAACTCTTTATTGAACAGATTACACGTACAAAATTATTTTTATATTTTTTGCACAAAATCAGTCGTACGAAATCGGCTCTGAGAGGCTAAGATAATATTAGTGATGAAGAACAAAAAGCATCGGCAAAATTTTACCGAGGCGAGTGCCTCGGTTGGCCTCTTACTAGCTACGGCCCTGTAACGCCTCTGAAATTTCCTGGTTAATACTGAATAACTTTGACAGTTTGTCACATAATTAGATTTGGTAGCAAAGTCCGTATAAAAACGGATGCATTGTAACAAAAACTCAGAATTAGAGTCAATTGCGAGAGAGTGGTTGGAACAAATAAAGTTGCAGTYCAGAAAAGTCTCTAATGTGTGTCCTTAACAGTGGTGCAGAACCCAGGCAAGGTACGCCTTCACAGTGTAACAGTTTGTACATCAGCTCTGTTACATTCTATATTGATTCAAAAGTCGAAAATTGTAATGTATGTTGAAATGCTTATGTTGATGTAACATTTTTGTTACGCGATTTTTTTGTCTTCTTTTGTGAAGAAATATTTCTCTGAATTTTTTTTCCACTGATGTTCGTGTTGTTGATATTCAGTATTTTGTTAGTCGCTTTTCAATTTCAATTTCCCCAGATGAAATCACGGATGATGAAGCTAACAGTAATAATGATTTTTTAAAGCGGAAGCATTTTTGAAAATGATGACAGTTTACCGAGCAGAAAAGCTTCTTAACAAACGAAAACAAAAAGGTGTTACACAATATCTAGTCAAATTGGCTAACTGGTCATTAGAAGATACTAGTTGGGAACCAGAGGAAAACATTCTTCACTGACTCATTGATTACTGAATTTTACTCGACCTAAGACATTTATCCCGGGTCCCCCGTCTGTCCGGGATTTTGTTTTCATTCTAAGACTGCAGACCATCTGCAACGCAGGCGTTACCAATTTGAAGCCAAATATTCACGAAGAACACGGAGAACGTTGCATTTTTAGACGTGGTCTTCCACAGGAAGCCCGCGTAAAAAGCAATGAAAAAGTTTTACTGAATGTAGAAGAGGTCGAAGATGTTGAGGAGGTTATCTATCTAAAAGAGATACAGTGGTCAAAGAAGGAGGAGGGAACAGAGACATCGCTAAGCGCCTACAGAAAGCTCGTGGTACATTTAGAAAACTGACGAGAATTTGGACAGTAAGAGGAATGGGAAGGAAGACTAAATTAAAGCTTTTTAACTCAGTTTTAATTCATTTTAATACATTTATCAGAAGGGTGGGTTGAGAAATTAGCCAAAAAAACAACGCTCGGTCCCCCTTTCCCCCCGTAAATTCGTTTATTTATTATTCGTGAAAAAAGAGTTGTCGCACTCGTGGCACGCTTTTTTGAGAAGTTTTCCACTTAAATAAGTATTTGTCCAAAAAGTCACAGAATCTAACACCGTTGATTTTTCAGAGCGAAAATTATTCTTTGACTATTTCTTCAAAATGAAAATTAATGCTGGAACTAAAAAAGTTGCCATTTTGAGAAATTCACCTATTATCCTTAAAAGACATTTGATTGTCGTCGTTTTTTATTATCATTTGCATCTTCGAGGAATAAGTAAGTTAATGGAGCAAGTCGAATTCACGCGATAATTTTCCCGCCATTTTTATAGACGACACCTCTTTTGAAAATTGCTCTGGATCTGCAGGGGTTTATTCATGATTTTCAGGCATGTTAGCCGAATTAATTTCTAAATCATTATTTTTGAACAGTCTCAAGAGATCAACGACACTAATTCATTCAAATACGATCAGGTGTGTACACTTATTTCAAAAAATGTTGTCGGGGAGAACGGCGAATGGCGATTTTCGAAGGGAGATTGCATGACGGAAAAGGACTAAGGTTACCCTGCTTGACAAAAAAAATTCCACTTGCTTGGTTCACCTTGAGTGAAAATGGAAACTTTGCATTTGTCATTCTTCCTTTCRGAGTTGCGTTGCCTGGGAAGAAATGATCGGGAAGCCTTTTATCATGTAATTATCACAACTTATCTTCAGCATAATTGATACAAAAATCATTATAGAAAACAAATAGTTGAATGATGAAGCTCAACGATCATTGAAGTCCGTGTTTTACGCTATCTGTACAATATGTTCTTTTTCCTGTTCTGTTTCCGCTTCACTACACGCAAACATTTACATCGCAAGGACAAGAAAGAAACATTCCCAAAAAAAGGTATTGAGCAAGTTATAGTATATACTGATTATGAAAGTTAAGAAGGCCAAGTTAATAAGACCATATCGGCACCGAAACAATACAAACCCTCTGAATGATAACTGGGGGGATTACTCTTTTCGAAAGAGCTGAGCATAAAATCTTTATAGATGAAACTCTCTCTTTTGCCAGCGTGTTACTAATCTGTGTATGAAYTTCCCTCCAGACGTGTCCGAATGTTGTCCCATGCTTTCAACYAATTCTCTTTCAACGCTCAGTAGTATTTCAGAGCAGATTTAGCTGCACGGACCATGCGGACTGACAGCAAAGTGTACGGTTAYGAGCATATCTAGTATAAGTGATGCCATAATAGAAAAAAATGGATTGAAAAAAGATCACAGTATACAGCATGCAAGGGCAATGCACCAAAATGGCCCCTTTCACCTCATACGAAATCTGCTGTAGTTACCTTGCCTYAATGATCGCATCGCCCAGCTTTCCTTCTGGTGCCCAAATGTCAACATACCCAAATCCCCAAATCACCCAAATGTGACACACCCAATCAACCCCTTTTGGTTCATACTTTTAACTGYTCTTTTTCAAACGATGTTTCCTTTTCAGATGTTAATTATCAAACTGTGTTGGATTGTCCTGAGGGTGATCGCCATCAATGCAGCACAGATCCTGCAAGAATGTGAACGCAAATATATGAATGATTATACTAAAAACAATTCTGGAGAATTGCTGTCAAACTAGAAAGAACAGCACTGAATTCAGAGCACTTTTATCGAGATCTTTGACTGCACATGATAAATTATCATGAAAATGTATAGGAATGTAAATRCAATATAGAAATGCTAATGAGCATGTGTTAATGGGCTTGATTTATATGCGGGATGAATCTATCTAAGAATCGAGAAGTCTCAGGATGCACGATACTCCATTTTAGAGTTCCAGGCGCCATCTTGAAAGGTAACCAAGCCTTTGCTTCAAATTGAGACAGGAGTTGAGCCTGCAGTGATAGATACCTTTTATTCACAACATAGTCAATCATTCACAGGCATCTCAATCATTGCAACTTTTGTCTCGCTTTGATGCAAAGGCTCGGCTACCTTTCAAGATGGCGCATGGAACTGTAAAAGGAGTATTTGGTATGGTCCACCCCAACGCAAAGTCTTTCAGGGAGCTGCCGACTGTCAGATAACTGATCGTAGACTACACGCCGTATGATAATTCTTCCTACTGTTCAAATTCGCTGATATTCGCAAATAAATGCTTCMACAACACGACTCTCTTTTGATGGGCTATGAACTAGTTCCTGAGATAAATGTTAGAAAATATGGCTGAACAAAAAAAATATATTTATATAGAATAAAATTGGTGTYTTTTTTTTCTTATCTCATCGTCAAAATTGTTGTCCATCCACGAGACGAAGTCGGTGGTGTAATTGCGTGATTATGCATACAATTATGTTAATTTTGGATATATTGAGTATTTTTAAAGACAATGCTTATTATTTATGATCATAAAAAGAATATGCTTGGTCCAGACGTTGAGGTGTTTGTCACAAAATGGTACACGACAGCGAACATGGTCTTTTCGCAGAACACAACAGAGGGATTTCGATCATACAGTCGGATCGACGGAAGACTTGAGCAACGTTCCGGTAATAAAGCCCAATTCATACAGACTCAGTAGACCATGTTAGACAATCTTGCATAAATCGTCATCGAAAATCCTGAAATCACCTAGTACCACAAAGAAATGCATTGATATATTTGAATTGAACGAGTGGATTTAGTCCAGGGAGGACTAAAACCCTAATAAATCTACAAATGTTAAAAKATTATCCAAATAAATCAGGTAACTAAATGATTGCGGAGACAATCACACAAAAAAGGACAAGCTGCTGGGACGAAATGAGCGTCTTTATTGTGAAACAATTTCTAGAAAGAATATTACAAAACTGTTAGGATGTAGCAAAAATACGAAATGGCRTTTTCCAATCATGTTGACAGTTGAAAAAAGCCAATTGCGTCGTTTMACACATAAACAATTTAGTGTGAGTGCCGTCTGTGAAAGAATAGTAAGATTTATTCCAAAACAAAACCCCTATTCCTATTGAGCTCTGGGTCGAGTGCACTACGACTCCAAGAGGCCGTGCTCAGCCAATAGGCTTTCAATGCGCAGTCCACGACCGTCAACGAGAAGAAAATCAACTTTTCTTGAATTGTTTGCCTTTTTACGACCATGATCTATCACGAGTAAACARCAGTTCAATAGCCAATCAGAATGCTGAATACTATCAGTAAGCCGTATAGACACCGCTATTATGGGATAGTACAAACTAGATTGAGTGTGTTTCAATTGATATGTGACCGCTCGGTGCGTTGTTCGCGCCGAGTTCGGTGCCACTTCAGTCATACGAAATATGCTAAAATAAGTTACTGAAGTGCACTGTAAAAAAGGATGAGAATKAGATAGAAGGGTTGATTTTCCTTTGGAATATATCCTACGATTGTAGAGTTTAAACATTGCATTTTTCATTCTAATTTCAAGTAGAAATAGATTTACTTTGAAATGTACAAATATTATACTCATAATTTTAGCCTTCCAAAGGCTTAGCTTGTTGCTTTGATGAAKTCATTTTAAAGAAGCTTTTGCAGTAAATGGAAAAAGCTTTTAAAACAAAAGAATCACTGTCAATAACGGCGAGATTATTGTTTTAAAACCTCTTTAGTCTTCAGTAGCAATCCAACATTTAGAGGATTTCGGCGACATGACCATTATCACTGCAAAAGTGCCAAAGACTCCTCAATATTCTATAATTGTCTTATCTTAATTCCTCATGGCTACCTTAAATACTATGTATAATGATTCAAAATGCAGTAAAGTTAGAATTATTAATCATTTTCAATTCATTGACAGTTTCCTCAGTTAAATTAGCAATAGAAAGTGAGCACGCTTGTCTGATTACCACGCACCATCAGTACTGGAGGCAAGTCTGCCGACAAAACCTCAAGCCAGCTCATGTATAAACTCGGCGACATCATACCAAGCTTTGGAACAGGTAGAGTAACGACGATGAGTCGTGCATCTCTCGAGTGCTCTCGTAGTAATTCACCCGTACGGATCTGCCTCAGCATTCGCTTGTCCAAAGGAATTCCCTCTTCAAACTCTCCTTGAATRGGYAACTTCAAAAAATCATCTATGGACTTTTTAGAAGGCTGTTTGTCGATGCCTTCAACTTCTTTGATACTTGAGAAGTCGATTCGGAACTTTTTCAGCAGATTCGCCATACGTACCTCATTCTTTTTGATACTTCGAGTGGAAGCTGGAACGACAATTCTCAGCTTGCAATCCTTCCAGGAATTGTTTAAACTGAGAATGTACGGAATAAGRATKGTTAATCCGCCATCATCAGCTAACCACCAAACATCGATTGTTCCTTTTTGTTTYCCTCTAAAGGAAATTGGACTAGTTACGAGTTCGTCAGATTTAGATGGCTTGGCCTTTGAGGCGCTTTCCGATATCTCGGTAAGACCTGATTTGTCACTTATGCGGTCTTTGTTTTTTTCACTGTCCACTGTTAAAGTTTCGCTGACGCTTAAATCAGAGGTTTTGACGGACATACCACCCCCTGTTGCCAAGGAACCAACCTCTACACGTGTGCTTCCTTCGGGGTAGTCCAACTCACTRCCAGGGGCAGCCGAACCAATAAACGAGCCTGTTTCTCTTTGAGAATGTTCACTATCAATTAAGTCAACGTCTGTTACAACAAATTTCTTTCTTCCTTCAATAAATTCCTTGCTTCTCTCATCCGATTTGTCAATTGTGTCTATGTCTAGCGGTTCGTCTAAGAGTCCCACGCTTTCAGGTGTCAATGCGCGCTCGACATGAAAAAATCGCCCTCCTGAGCTTGGAGACTTGTCCGAGAAAAGACCACTTCCTTGACTTGTTTGTCTCTCAGAAAAACTTGTCTTACTAGCACTGGGACTACGGCTTTTGGGAACAAAATGTTCTTCCTCGCCATCTCCCATCCAATCATCCGCATCGCCRTCATATTCGTCGGCTCCTATTTGGTATTCATCACGCATGCGCAARATAGCTACACCATAATTCATCTCAAAAGCATCATTGATGATGTTAACGTATTCGCTGATTTCTGAATCAGAAGCCTTTTTCCAGTTTCTTTTGAAACCAAGTACAAGCGTGTTGGGTTTGAGCTTACCAACACCGGCAGACTGTAGCATTCCTTGGACTCCTGAACGAAGTGAAGGAGCTGAAAATGAAAGCGAATTTTTAAAATTAACTCACACRCATGWACTACATCTACACAAAGTGCCGCATCCACACAAGAAACAGTGAGAAAGTATGTCTTAGCAATAAGCATATATTYTGTAACTCAGGTGATGGATGTTGGTCATGCTACATTTYCGTGCAATCCTACAAGTACCACATTCAACATGGCTGCGTCAAAASCAAAAGAGACTYTGTATTGATAATATCAGATGACATGAMTKAAAGTAACAGCTGCATTTTGAACACGTGCAGATTCTTGGAGATTGTCATTATCTGAATCTCCGGTTGTTGCTTTTCAGGTAGTCAAATTTGAATACTTTCTATTTTAGTTCAGGTTTTTACACTTAATCACCCTGTCAAAACAAATGTCACTAAAAGTCACGTGACTGAAAGAAAGCAATTACAAAAATATAATCCACACTCTCTAAAACACCAGGAGTCGTTTTTAAAAAGTAGTTTACGTAGTTTTGAGAGACATACCTGTGCATATTGTATGAAAAGCTCTTATTTTCCTTTCTTTTAACCATCCATTTTCATAACTWGARGCRCGCGCAAAGGGTCCCACGTTGACCTGACCACAAACCATGAGACCGACGTTACGTGTTATCTGAGACACTATGTACGTCAAGTTTGGTCGCGATGAAGGTGAACCAGTCAGAACCAAGCACTGGGGACGATAATTCTTCACGTGATCTTCAACAGTGTTGAGACGATAAGAAAATCGCAGTGCCCGGATGTAAGTATAAGCCTGSGCAGAAGATCCCCAATTTACCTGCGATAGGTCAAAGCAAAAATTATGTTAAGGTTGGAGAATATGTCTTTGCCTAGCATATACCGCTAAAAATAATAAATCTATGTATGAAAGAACTAGTTGATTCATCAAATGATATAACTCGTGGATACTCACGTTSGGTTTCTTGATGTCAACATACTTGTAGAGGGCGGTGACAATCACAATAGTCACYAAAGCAGCCCACCAGTTGATAAGGAACATGATTGCTACACACACTAAAGCCCCTACAAGCGACACCCACATATTATAGTACTTAAAGGACGGTCTCCATCCTGGAGAACGTGCCAGAGATGCTGCAAACACAGCATAATTAATCAAAGCATACGACATCAAAAAGAAGTTCGATATCACAGGAGCGATAACGTTAAGTTCACCAATTGCGATGAACGCTCCCGCAATCAAAAATGTCAGCAGGTATCCACGTCTAGGTTCGTCCCCAGGCCCCATCCCAACTCCAAAATAATCAATGTACGGAAAAATGTTGTCCTTGCAAAGAGCTTGGAATGTTTTAGGAGCACCAACAAGACTGGCCAAGGCTGATGAKAGGGTAGCAGCAAAGATACCTCCCGTTACTAATGGTCCCCAGGCTGAGATCTTTTCCATTACCTGGAATACAATACGATATGGTGATTATTGTGCTAATTATCAATGTTGTTGTTTTGTTGTTGCTCTTTTTACTAATAATGACGTCATGCTTGTTTCGGCGAAGTGCATCATGGTATTGATACAAATACCAAAGATGGCGGATTCTTATAAATATAGGAGAACGAAGTTTCTACGAATTTAACGTTATCAGTATTTACTTGTGATAATGCTTTGGAAAAACATTAAATAAAATGCCAAAAAAGAAGAAGTAGTGCTTTTTGTAAAATAAAACAGTATGAAACGCAAGTGAATCTCGTACGACGTCACAAGACTTCAACGAGCTTCATTCTCGTTCTCACCTGAAAGTCATTCATCAGTCCATACATACACTTTGGTCCAGGACAGCTCGGCAGTACTTGACTTACATTCCCTGGGACGGAGGCATTAACTGCAGCAACTGTTGCAACAATACCATGTGCATCACGYAATACACATGCGCCAGCAAACCAAGCCAAAATAACGTACACTATAGTACTAAGTAATATAGCGAGCAGWGTGCCTTGTGGGATAGCTTTCTGCGCATCTTTCAGATCACCAGAAATATTGACGCCAGCTAGAATTCCTGTCGCGGCGGGGAAGAAAACAGCAAAGACAGAGAAAAAATTTTCACCATCGCGATAACCTGGACCGAAATTGGACTCAAAGATATCCATTTTGTAGCCCATGAACCCTCTTGCCTTGCTGACTTCATTCTGAGGTCCAATGAATGTTCCTATCATGGCGTCAATGATGGATATCAACAGAATAGCAAGTAAAAACATTTGAGTACGAACCTGTGAAGAAAAACATAAAATGAAATTATATTAATGAAGAAGATTTATGTAATAATTGACTAGAAATCTTAAAGGCCCAAGTACCCTGAACCCATGAACCCTTGCACGATWTTTTYACATAAGAAAATTMGCCATCTTTAATTTTAAACCAATCACCTTTCAAAAAGAAATCATTTTTAATACAAAAGAAACGATCGCATAGGTTCTTGGATTCAGGTGGGTCTTTACAGCGAAAATCGTTGCATCGCGTTCAGTAAAAAAAAAAACTAAACTAAACTCGTTCAGTCATTTGCTAATTTGTATCAAGCTCTGACCCCAAGTTGCATAAAAACCTAAATCCCAACGACTTCTTTTGAACATTGAAGTCGCGATGCAACGGTTTCTGCTTAAGTATCAACAAAACGTGTGTCATGTCTTCATTAATGGCTAGACTATTTAGGTGACACGTCAGCACGTTAACATGTACATTGAACAACTTACCACCCACTCAAGGCCAATCAGTGTCACACTTAACAAAGCCAACACGGTGATAACGCCAACAATACGAATATCATTGACTTCATCAACCATRAGCGAGTCATTGTCTCGAAGAATGTCTCTGACTGTCTCAGCAAAACCAACGACATATAATGCGACAGCTACGGCATTAGCAAGAGAGAATATCAAACCAATGGAGCCACCAAACTCTGGACCAAGACTGCGGGATATCAAGAAATATGCACCACCTGAAAAATATTTATCATCATCATCATTATCATCATCATGAACACTATCTAACTGCTCCACTGTTCATGGATTGGTACAAATTAATAGAATAAATATTGTAAGTATTGAAATCATGACAGTCAAATGCTGAATGCAATGTAACGGCCCTGGGGGAAGGACAGGTCTGCTGGTCACWGTTTTTCCTTCATCAATCAAAACTCAGAACTGCTTTTAAGGTTCTTCCCTCTAAACCCAATGCATTCCAAACATCAAGTCATGGCTCATTTGTTTTTGAGTCTAGCATAGCATATGATGAAGTTCAAGGTTTTGATCGAGAGGAGCAAAAACACGAAATAGTGACTGGCATTTGATTCAACCATTTACATACAATCATGTCTGCACAACAATTGCTATAAATCCACTATAGACCCCGTCCCATGTAGTTCATGGGAATGCACCTCCAAATGGAGAATAAAACAATGGATTCTAGTTCGTGAGAGGGCAAAAAGCTTTTTTTTTGAGGCTGCTTTGATACACATGCAAGGGGTCTATAAAACAAAAGCATTCTGCACATATTCACGAACCGGTAAATGCAGTAAACACCATGTTTACATACTAATACAGTCAATCCTATTAACACATAAAAACAACAACTGATTCATTTGCATTAAAAGGAAGAATTGTAATTCTGAACTTGAGATAAATAGCAAATTAAATGTATTTAATAAATTAAATATTGACATTGAAAAGAATTTTTGGAACTTTATGTCGAATATTCTTGCAAAGAAATTTAAAACATTATGTATGCAAGTGATTTTGTTGTTGCCTTCATGTCTTAGAACTGAACAACGTTAATGAGATTGACTGTAAGTATACACTGCATGTAAACAGCTTCATACCTCCTTTAACCTCTCCATTGGTACACACTGCTGACATTGATAGAGTGGTAAGTACAGTGACAATTGCCGATAACAATATTATGACTGTAGACCATCCAATACCAGACTGACCAACAACCCAAGTAACACGCAAAAACAGCATTACACCCCAAATGTTTAACAAACATCTCAGCATCACTCCTTTTATCCATCCAAACTTTGGTGCCAATTTGACTTTRTCTCCATGGGTATAAACCTTGAGGTCGTTACTAGTTTGGTTTTCACCGTTCTCAACATTGGGTGTTTGACTTAAATCAGGCTTTAAAAGAAAAAATGAGAAGAGGTCAATAGCATGTAAAGTTTATTTACTCGTAAAATATCAGACATGGAAAAGCAAAGAAAAAAGAAAAACGTTTTTAATATAACAACTTCATTCAATGCTTGTTTCTGATTGGCTGAGGATCTCCTATTATTTGTAGCATTAATRGTACAAAGSCTACAGTAATGTGCTGTYATTYGTGTCTATCAGTGAATTTCTWAGATATTTTCTGTWGATGTGATATTAAAAGGAAATTTTACTATGTTCTCCATAAATTAATGAAAAATACTTATATGGGATGCGAATGGCTGAAATCCACTTGTGCTATGCACTCGAATATGTTATTTTTTATCAATTCTTCAAAGACAGTGGAATTTCTATAAGAATGTAAGGACCATATGACACTATGAGATACATGATATAGAAATAAAGAAAGTTATAGTGCTTTCCAAGGGTCTTTTTCCCGGAATAACCTCCTTCSTAGCAATATAACTTTCCTTTATTTCTATATTGTAAATTTCTATAAATAGTGATTACATAAGCTAAGTATAGTGAGCAATGTAAGAGTATTATAGAAGCAATAAAGCAACATCCCATTTTCAGGGACAACAGACACACTGCATTCATTACCAAACAGTATCATATGAATTGTTTATGTTCATGCCATTTTAGATAGGGAAGTACCAATACCCCTTTTTTATGTAAATACTCAGCCAATTGCTTTGGAATTAGTACATTACAAAAATCTGAGAAGTAGCATTTAGCTTAAGTAATGCCTGTAACTCCTGACTGCGTCTTACTGGGTGAAGCCTTGTATGCGAATGCAAGTTCGTTTGGACCAATTATTTGACTTCTCATCCACAATGCCATATATAGCAATCGCATTGTTTTAGGATTACAGCCTGATTCATGACACAATTCTAAGATACTTCTGTTCAACTGGGCCCAGAGTTTTTATCATTAATGACAACAACCTAATATTTAAAAATCAGCCTGAGTTTTGTAATGTCATTATTGAAAGATRACTCAATACCACATATTCTAACCGAATTATTTTGCTACAACTTAATTGGTTAGCTTAGGTTATCAGAAAGTCAAAAGGAAATGTTAGTAATTCATATGATTCTGGCAGCATTTGAGGGATACTTTCTTGTGAACAAATCTCTTAATGTAATATTTGTTTAATGTTTATAGTAACATTGTTTTGACAATAGCATTTACAATTTATTCAAAAAACATCAAATAAGATATTTCTTCTGACAAAACTACAGGAGTCAAAGTGATGGACGGACAAAAGTATGAATACTAAATGATCAAATAAAATTTTCAACTATTTTCTTTCTAATTTTTAAACACTTCCTACTTTTCTAGAAATGCATGATCAAGCAAATTAGAAAATTTAACGGTGACAACTCGTTCACATTTTYCCATTCTTTTTGGCCTTAAATCGACGAAAAAAAAAAATAAAAAAAAGCTTAAGGCATTGTGTGAAGATATTGTCAACAATTGAGGATCAGCGTTTATTAATTATGCATTCATCGACGTCCAGACGTACGAAGTAAATTCGAAACACCGTTCAAATTCCATAGAAGCTAAACAAAACTTAAAAGTATGCAAAATCCATGGAACCGGAAAGTACAAAGGTAACTGTAATTTCACTGACATGTCCTCTTTAGACGGGAATTTATGGTCGAACGAACTATTATACAAGCTTAGTATGACGTAATTATACCCGCCATTTGCATCCAGCGTTTCCAAAACAACGATGTGCATTACATGTGATTATTATTCAGGCTTCTTTTTCTTTTAAAACATAAAAAGTTTGTAAGAGAAATTGAAAGGATAGGATTATAAAATAACCCACACGACCAGCTTATATTTGTCCTGTTCATTAAACGCTYGAGGGATCGCGGAAACGACCTTTAAGCTGTTATTTTAAAGTCTGTCTGAAACGAGAACATTTTCATATGAAAGTCATTCAAACTCATCTAATTTTTATTTCTATTSGTAGCTTACTTATGTGGAAATTTGAATAAAGCTGAGCCTTGGRTATTAATATTTCAAAAAGAAAATTTTGAGTCATGAAAAAGGCCGGTTACTAGACCTGATTTTCAGCTTCGTCTTCAAAATAAAACACAAAAGATTTACCTGTTGATCGGAAACTTCCCCAAAACCTTTCTGTAGTTCTTGCAGAGTCGGCCTGGATTTTTTCGCATGGCTTTGTGAATGTTCATTACGGTAAAACACGGTCATTGGCACTGCTTCGTTGGTCGCGTACCCGATCGTACCATCAATTACAGAAATAGGCCGGCTWGAGTCGGAACACACACGGCTGTGAGCTCCGCTATCAGAGTCACTCAAATCCATTTTGTCTTTCGGTTCGTTCTTAACTTGTTCGACTTGGAATCGAGCTGATAATGGAGACGAAGGCTTTGCGTTTCTTTCGCCATGTGGCAAAGGGTTCTCGTAGCCATGACCCAGGCTTGACAGTTCATCATCTTTTGGCATCTCTGACATACCATCCATGTCTTCGTGAAAATCTTACTCAAACGATGGCTGTGCCGATCCCTTTGTCTGCTCCTAAATAAAGAAATAGCTAAAAGTTAAAGTGACATTTTCATATCACAAGACCAACTTCGTAACGAATGTTTATCTATGATGGGAGATTGGGTCTGATACAAATCGATATTTTAGGGGGGAGGGGTACGTTGAGGGGTACGTTTCATGGAAAAATTGACTTGGGAACCACCATGTTATTAAAATGCATAGCATACGTTGGTCCAATTCGGAAGTTTTACAAATATAATAAGTATTTTTTTTAAAAAAAGAGAATAACTGGCAGCTGAAAGTGGCTAAACTCTCCCCAGTCTCCATCGGACACYACAGCAGCCGTTGAGCGCAAGCCAACTTTTGGCGCTACTGGATGGAGTTTCCCAACAGATATATTTATATGAATTTTAAAAAGGCTGCATGTGCAGATTTTGAGATAATACAKAAATAGTATCATTGCTATGGATAAATCAATGATTTCTACTGGCTCTAGACGCGGAGAATTTTGATTGGTTATCAGGAGAAAATATTGTCGTTACCGGCGAGAACGTAATTTTTGAGGTTYTTGGGTAGGATGATTAACCTCCGRGGCSACYTCATTGGAAAAGGAACAAGGACATCGAAACTAGTATCTTCCGTGCCTAAGGGTTACTCTAGCTGAAACTTCATACACTAGAATGCTCATAGTGGATCGTTGCAATTTCTTCRAGTATACTTGGAAAAGAAAAAACGATCGAAATTACGGAAATAAAAAAATAAATGAAGACAAAAACAGAAAAAAATCAGCCGCAAATCCAAATAATCTTTTTTAAAGTGTGTCTTAACGTGTGTAATTATATCGGATATATGAAAATTTTAAGATTCGCGGAATTTGGAGACTTCCGACACCGGTAACAGTTAAGCTTGATGGCATCAGTTTTTCAAGCAATATCTTGTCGACTCCTGCCAGAGGTTTGAGTTTCGCTCGGCCTTACGGCCTCGATTACGGCGTTTCGCGCCGACAAAAACAATAGCGAAGAGAGAAAATATCAAATCTCCTTTATACAAACAAAGTAACTGGCCATATGTTAGAGCATGCTATTTTCTACTGTTTCAAGAACTCACCTCAGAACTTACCTCACCTCAGAATAACGACCTCAAAAGTCCTTACGAACGGCTCGTCTTGACATAAAACGACCACAAATGGCTTGCGTCCATCAGTTTGATTAGCTTAAAGACCTTTCTGTGAAGATCCTTTGCCAAAACATTCCGTGCTGTTCGTGCCGCGTATCTCAAGAAACCTGACGCGACTCACGCGCCGTTAATTGAACAACCTGAGTGACAGAACAACACTGGACACTGCATTCAGTSGRCCTGAAGGGSATGGAAGGGGCGAGGTAGGTCTGAATTGGTCAACACCAACTTGCGAAGGCTATTGGCACTGGTCTTCACTACGAAGCGAGGTCGTCCAAAAATAGCAGAATAAGTATGAGCCACTAGTTGTGTTTACCTACGAACACAGCAGYGTTTCCTTAAATACTTACATACTGAGACCAGCAAGCTGTATATGTTAAGTTCTATAAAAGATTGTGATTGGTTCTCTGAATGTGATTGTGACTGTGATAGTATAGTATAMAGGTATTACCTGTGTATTGCATAAGCAGACTTATGTCAGTTTTCCCGCTTATACAGAAAATGCATGTATGTAGTATGTAGTATGATAGAATACGATGAGACTCTGTGTAAATGATTGGATAGTGTTTATATCTTGATCCATTTATGCCCAWACTTTAAACAGCCACCCGTCGTGTCGGCTCGTTTCCACATGCATGCTATTTATGCCATCTGCTTAGAGGAGCCACAARCCGTGCGTTTTTCATGAACATTCTTAATGATAGATTTATAAAAGGTTAAGGTTCAGTCTCGATATAGCTTGACTTAATATGGTTTATTTATGGATACAAAATCTACTTTTTCTTCTCTGAASTTTAATCTGCTTTAATCTGTGTAGAAGGMCGTGATCAYATGTAGAAAAGGGAAGCGGAGAAAAACTTTTCCGCCTTCCATATCCCGGCGCACTTGTTACTTGCAATGGCCAGTGCAAAACTTGGTATTCAGTCGATCTCGTTCCCAGAGACTATTCCCCACTTAACCATCAACCATAACAAGACATTGTATGATTCATGACTTTATGCAAGTGCTACGGGGACAATCGAGGATGTGTAAAGTGGGAATGGTCTCTAGCGACGAGATTGCCATTAACGCATGCGCAAAAACTGTAGAGRAACACGGGATTAGAAAAACAGAGAAAACCTATAACAAGGTAGAACAGATATTGKTTTGATTTTCGGTTGATCTAACGGTGTTAGCCTGTAGTCTTAATTGCAGCGCGACCTCATAAGCTAATATAATTATTTACTAGTTTGCTAGTTTATCACGTGACCGGAAAACTCACCACCTTCATTTGCCGTCTGTGG